TCCAAAGCCCCGGAATAATAAAACTTGAAATCGCGAATTCGCTCCCCTTAGTCACCGGGAAAGGCTGGCTGAACGATACCGTTGTGAGCAAACGACTCCCAACGCGGTCCAGACGCCCCGATGTCCCCCAAGCGCCGACGAGAAGGCGGGAAGCTGGGCTAGCGCGAGCGATTAGGAGCCAAAAGATGGTACCACGCGCCCCGCCCGCTTGTGCTTGAGCCAAAACGGCTATGGACTAGGGGAGGGGGGAGGGGGGGTTGCCGGGGGAGGGGGGGGGGGGTCCAGCAGGTGGGGGGGGGAGGGGATTTTCGGAGGGGGAGGGGGGGGGGCCGGGTTCCGGAGGAAGAGGGGGGCAATTTTCCACAGTAAAGCGGCGATGGATCACGCTCTCTCCAATATTAAGTCACGTCATGAAAATGTTGAAAAACCGATGGTTGTCTTTAAAATTCGCAAAAGCGCGGGCACGCACTTGTTTTGACAATTCTGGTTGGGAAGCCATGTGTTGCAATGCGTTTTCGCGACGCTCGGTTTTTACATTCTTACGAAACCTATGGTTTTTGATGGATCAAGCCACGCGCGCGCGCGCGCACTTCGCCCCATTTGTTGCAAGTGGCTCGTGAAAACGAGTAGTTTGTGATAAGCGAGAACGCGCGCATTGCATTTGCTGCAGAGGATGGCGGGGGGGGGTCGAGGCGCGAGTTCCCATTTGCGCGGGATGAAATATCGCCCTCGCGAGCCCCAAATGTCGGGACCGACGCGCCTTTCAGGTGAGCGGATGCATGTAGCGCTCTCTTCTGATTCGCGCCCCCTCCCTTCCCCATTCCGCTCTCCGTCTAAAGAAGACCCCCCTTTCCCCCGTAGAGTCATAGCTTGGGTCGGCAGATTCACAGTTCCGAGGATAGCATGATGCTTCACGCGCGGTGCCCCTCGGATCCCATATCCCCTGGGCCCTTATGGTTCTATATATTCCCAGGGAATAAACGGACCCATGTTTTTTTTCCACGCGGGGCGTTGGATCCGGGCTAGACAGAAATATGATCAACGATGCTGTCGCACACCCGAACATATCATATCATATATAGACACATCTATATATATATATAGATATAGATGTACATATCTATCCACATATATATACATACATATATGTAGATATAGGTGTTCTCATATTCTTAGTCGAAGAGGAACAACTTTCGGCCTGGGGACGCAGGATTCGGCACCCCGCGCCTGACATTTGCGAAAGGGCGCGTGGTGTTAGCGGGAGAGACGCAATCCGAAATCCCGCTTGCGCAAAAGACAGAAATGTGATCCACGACGCTGTCGCACACCCGAAAAATACCAATAGGACCCATCGGTGCTCTCATATTCGTAGTCCAAAAGGAAACAACTTTCGGCCTGGGGATGCAGCATCTAGGATGGACGACGGGGCAGAATTTCACGCAGATGGCAACGCGACAAGGGAGTTGTTAACTATTGGGGGTTGGCGGGGGGGGGCGGGGGGGATCCGAATATTTCTTCAGATAGGAGAACCCCTGTTGCACAATGAATTTTCATTGGCAGTCAGTGGTCAACTCCACTGCTCGCGGAACCATCCCACCCGCGCGCCCGCAACTCGATTTTCAAAACCCACGCGGCGGCGATTGCGACGAATGCTTGGCGTTGGCTCGTGCACCTCTGCGGCCGCGCTAGCCCGCGCGCGCTAGCGCGCGCAGCGGCCGCCTTACTTGGCGCGACCGATGCGGCCGCGGTGGCCCTGACCGCCGGGCACTTCTCCGCTGGCACTTCAATGCGAGTCGGCGACATAGGCGGTGGGCGCGGTATCATGGCGTCGTCGACGCTGGTAGACACGCTGGTAGCAGCGATGCTGTCGACGATGGCGGCGTCGACGTCGGCAAGGCCAGTGACGGCGCCGATGCTGACCATGCCGACGACGATGACGGCGCCCTCGCGTCGGCAATTTCGGTTTTGGAAGGAGTTCCACGCGCGCGCGGCCGACGCGAGAGAGTGGGCCGCATGGTATTATTTGACAGGGCGTTCGGATGATGTCGACATGCGGCGTGAGAGGCCCGTTTGGCAGAAGTGAACGAGATTGCTATTTCTAGTGCAATCTAGATTTATGTATATATATATATATATATATACATTTGGTTCCCCCCAGATCATACATGCCATCTTGTATCGCATTCACGTTCATCATCATCTTAATCATTTTTCCCTGAATTATTTCTCCATCCTCCCCCTTGTATGTTTGTGCCTGTTCGTCCGCATCCTTCTCTTACCATATATTTCATATAGTGATCCGAATTCTTAGCTCATGCCATTGTGTTCATAAGCTTCGGGTTTGCTTTCATGCCGCAGCCACGTCGCGATGGAAAAGGAGGGGGGAGAGGAAAGGGGAGAAGGAGGAGGCGCTGGGGGGGAGGCCGCGGGGAGCACCTGAGCTTCCAAAACCAGAAAAAATATTCCAGTGCGACCCTACCTAGGAGTTGGAGCATCTAGGAAAGCAACATCTACATCTACACCGACAGCTACATTAACATATACACCTGCATCTACATCTACATCAACATCAACAGCGATGTGCTATGTTGTGCTATGCTGCGATATGCTGTGCTGCGCTATGCTATGATATGCTGGGCTATGCTATGATATGTGGTGCTGCGCTATGCTATGCTACGCTCTGCTATGCTGTGCTCTGCTATGCTAAAGCTCGGCGAAGCTAAAATGAATGTAAGCTAAGCTAAGATACACCTGAGCTAAGATGGAGCTAAGCTAATCTGAGATGAAATAAACTAAGCTAAGATGAGATAAGCAACGCTGAACTAAGGGGGCGTAGCTGGGGGAACCGCGGGGCGGATGCCAGGGGAACCGCCCAGGGCGTTTTCCACTTTCCGGCCCCTTTTAGCCAAGACAATAAGAACCCTTTTTCTAGGCAGAGCCTAGGTTGGGAATTAGAAAAAAACAACAACAAAAAAAGACAACAAACAAAAACACGTTTCCTTGCATCCTAGACCAAACAAGCCAGAAATAAGCAAACATACGCGGCGTCTCCTTGCACCAAGGGCACCAAACACAGTGTATTATTGGTTTACTTATTTTGCAACGAGGAGGAGGAAAGGAAGGAAGGAGAAAGGGGGGGAAAGAGGGAAGGGGAGAAGGAGGAATTGCTGGGGAGGAGGTCGCGGGGAGCACTTGAGCTTCCAAAGCCAAAAAAAATCCGACGGTAAGACCCCACATGAGACTCTTTCGGAATTGCTCTTAACCTTTCCCCCGTCGGCGCCCGATGGGCCCGATTCGGCCGCCGATAGGTCACCGCCGGCGGCCCGGAGACAAGGGGGTACCCCTGCCCCCGATTCGGCCGAGGATGGGTTACCACCCCCGGCCCGGACACAAGTCAGTTTTTCAGTCGCCCTTGTGCCCTACGCTATTGCGGGGCCGCTGGAATTTCCCATTTCGAGCACGCGGTCCCATGACAGAAACAAGTTTGCCGACGACCAGCTCGACATACAACGCTCGGATTGCCAACGCCCGCTCGAGACTCTCGCCATATTCAGGCCTGAGGAGCTCAAATGTGAAGACAGTTGCAGGTTTCCGATGACCCGCTCGGATTAGCAACATGATTCGCGGGCCCCATAGGGAGGGGGCTCCCGCCTGAGACTTCCTCGAAATTCACTCACAGACGATGCTCCCGCCTGATATTTCCTCCGTACTCAGGCCTCAGGAGTCCAAAAGTGACGAAAATTATATGTTTCCGATGACCCGCTCGGATTAGCCACATGATCGGCGGGACCCATAGGGAGGGGGCTCCCGCCTGAGATTTCCTTGCAATTCACTCACAGACGAGGCCCCTGCCTGATACTTCATCCACATTCAACCCTCACGAGGTCAAAAGTGATGGCAGTTACAAGTTTCCGATGACCCGCTCGGATTAGCAACGCGACCCGCGGGCCCCGTAAGGAGGGGGTTCCCGCCTGAGACTTCCTCGCAATTCACTCACAGACGAAGCTCCCGCCTGATACTTCCTCCACTTTCAGGCCTCAGGAGTCCAATAGCGACGACAGTTACAGGTTTCCGATGACCCGTTCGGATTAGCAACATGATCGGCGGGCCCATAGGGAAGGGGCTCCCGTCTGTGACTTCCTCGCAAGTCATTCGCAGACGAGGTTCCCGTTCGAGACTTCCTCCATATTCAAGCTAGAGAATAAGTGATGACGACGTGATGAGTGAGCGAATGATGGTGATGAGTGAATGAAGGAATGAGTGAGTGAGTGGGTGGGTGGGTGGGTGGGTGGGTGAGCGAGCGAGCGAGCGAGCGAGCGAGTGATGATGACGATGATGATGATGGAGATGATGATGATGATGATGATGATGATGGTGGTGATAATGATGATGAGTGATGATGATGAGTGATGAGTTGGTGATGATGTAGGTGTGTTCTGGTTTTGGTTCCTGCACGTGGTATCTAGAAAAAAACAAGAACCCCACTCTGGATGTGGGGAACAACCAAAAATACGCAGTGCGTCCTTGCATCCTGACCAAAAAACACAACACCAACAACAACAAACATACACAGCATGTCCTTGCTCCGAGGGCGCCAAACACTGCGTATTATTTGTTTTGCGTTGCTACAGAAGGAAGGAAACGGAAAGGAGAAGGAGGATAATGATGATGGGCGACGAGGAAGAGGAGGAGGAATTGTGTTTGGAGAATGAGGAAAAGGGAAAGGAGAAGGAGAAAAAACGGAGAAGGAGGAAGAGAAGAAACGGAGAGGCAGAGAGAGGTATGATCAGGGTGTGGCGCCCCTGGTGCAAGGAAACCTCATGGCCCTGCGTGCTGGAGAATGTGTTCTGGAGTGTTTCCGTTCCGCTGTCTTTTTTGGGCCCAGTCCCAAAATCTTGAAGACGGCTGTGATGTTCAGCCCGCTTGCCCAGGTCGCCTCCGCGAGTGCGTTGGGCAGCTGGCTGGGGGGGGGCAGCGCGCTCTTGCCAGTGCGAGCGCAGCTGCGCGTGCCAGTTCAACTCGGACGAGGGCGCGCTGAGGCTGCTCGAGAGGCAGCTGGACAGGTGCGGGCCTGATCATTTGTGCCCGCAGTGGCCAATGTGCCCGACGTGCCCGCTGCCGACCCCTTGCGCGCCGCTCTGGCCCGCGGGGCTGGGCGGCTTCGTGGCCGGGGTGGCCGCCAGCGCGCTCGTGGCCCTTTGCGCCAGGCGCTGCAGCGGCCGCCCGCCCGGCGCGCGGGCCTCCGTGGCGCGCGCCGCCGGGCCGAGCGCGGCGCTCGGGCTCGCGGACGCGCCCCCGCCGCCGCCGGCCGCAGGAGCCGCGCCTGCGGCGCCGGCCCCGCCGCTGACGAGCGGCCTCCCGGCGCCGGCTGGGCCCCGCGGGCGCGCGGCGCGCGGCGCGGGCGCGCTGACTGTTGGCTGAGGCGCTCGGCCGCCCGGCCAGCGCCATGGCGACGCTCCCGCCGGGAGCGTTCGCCTTCGCGCAGTACGACGACCCGCTCGACAATGGGCGCTGGCACGAGCGCCTGATCATGGGCAGGGTCAGCGGGGCGGAGTACATAGTCTTGACACCTGATGGAGACGTTTTCATCGAACAGCTCGATTCGGCGAACCGTGATCTCTCGGGAGCGCGATTCTCGCCGGCGCCGGGGGGCCTCCCGGCCGGGCTAACCGGCGCGAGGCTCTATCGGTTCGCGGCCCAGCCGTCCGGCGCCGAGTTGGCGGCGCTGCTCAGCGAGGGGGCCTCTCACGCTCGCGTCGACCGCCAGGCGAGGGGTTTTGCGCAGCCTCCCGCCGCGGGCGCGGCGGGCGGCCCAGGGGGCGTCGCCCCGACCGTGGTGCCCGCCCCCTTGCTGGCCGCGCCGCCGCCGGCCGTGGCGGGCGGGCCGCCGCCGCCTGCGCCCGCTCCGAAGGTGGCGCCGGCCGGCGGCAGCTGGGTCTTCGACGTCCCGGGGCCGCTGCGTGCGATCGGGCAGGAGTTCGTGTATCCCGCGGGGGCGCTGGACTTCGGAGGCCGCGTGTTCGTGACGGTCGGGCGGGAGATCACGACTGGCACCCTCGTCGCAGCCGACGCGGACTTGGACGAGTCGGCGGAGCGGCGGCTGTTCCTGATGCGGGGCGAGCCCCGCCTGCTGCCGCGTCGCCAGGCAGCCGAGCCTGCCCCCTTCAGCAGCGACGCCGTGCTGTTGCGCAAGGAAGCCCGGACGGAGATCCGTCTCGAGGGGCCTCCCAGGATGGGGGGCACGGTGACGGCGCTGCAGGCGAGGAGCCCAGGGGGCCTCATGGCCTCCCACGAGCGCTGGCTGGTGGAGAGCCGGGTGCCAGCGACCAGCCGCTCCGCCCATGAGCATCGGGTGGTATCGAAGGCGCTCCAGCTCGGGCACTCGGTCGACGGGGTCAACTTGGCAAACTTGACGAGCATGGAGCATTTGAATCGGCTCCGACAGCTTCCCGAGGAGGCGCACAAGACCGATCCAGACAAGCCGAACTTCGAGGAGGCCCACTACTTCCTTGGCGAGGACGACGTCGGGGCCTGGACTCTCGTTGCCCCGAGCTCGAGTGCCCACGTCGCCGGCGAGTTCGCCAAGGATGCAGCAATTGAGATAGAGAGACGCAAAGCACGTGAAGCATGGAAGCCACCCCCGAAGGGTGGCGACAAATCATGACCGACTTGATCCACTGCGGCCCCTCAGCTGGCGGCGCCGCTGCGGCTTGTGAAGACCGGCGACTTTTTGACGAGGGAGCGGCCCCGCCGTGGGTCTGGCCGGACGCCCTGCCGCCTGGCCTCGGGCCGCCGCCGGGACTTGCGAGACCGCCCGGCTGCTCGAGCGACCCCCCCCCCGCTGCTCGACGAGCAGGAGGCCGATTTTGGCGGCGCCGGCCGCGCCCGCTCAGGGCAACGTAGAAGATGCATCCGCCGGGGCGTGCTGAGTGACGCGAACGACTCGCTGACGGGCCTCGACGTGCTCTATGGCTGCGAGCGCTCGTCGGTTAGTGAGCCCACCGAGGCGCAGAGACTGACGCGACGGATCCGCACTGCTCGCTCGGCCCGACAAGTTTTTCCCAATTTACTTAACATGGGCCCCCGTGAAGCTGCCAGTGAGCTTCTGAGATCCCGCCTTGACTCCCAGGGCTCGGTGACGTCGGTCGTTCCGCATCGCTCCGACGCCCTCTCTTTGCCCCCCGCAGGACGTCAGCCCGTCAGCCTTCAGGGCGTCCTCGACCCTGATGCCGCGCACGCTCTCGCTCACTTTGAAAGCCTCCTAGCCGAGCCCGAGGTTTGTCATGCTCGCCGCGAGGGGGGCCCAGCCCGACCCTACATGGACGTGGCGTTGAAGAACGATCGGGCCCAGCATGCGCAGCTTTTGGGACAGCTCGCGAGCTGCAATGTGCTCGCAGCCACCTCGACTAGGAAAGCGTCCGTCACCCCGGTTTTGGTTTCGAAGAAGACTGATGAGATCCGACTCGCATTAGACTGTCGCGAGGCAAACCAACATTTTAAACATTCCCCTTTCACCGAGATAGCTGCGGCGGAGAGCCTCAGCTCGGTAGAGGTCCCTGAGGGCAGGCAGTTGTACAGCGCATGTGCTGATATCCAGCGTGCGTTCTATCAGTGTGGTGGCATAGGCGATCTCTGCCAGTACTTCTGCCTCCTAAGGTCAGCCGGGCTGAGGCTCACCGCGCAGGTATCTCGGTGAAGGATCTGAACGACTCGAGCGACTTCGTCTACCACGCGACGCAGGCTTTGCCAATGGGATGGTCGTGCGCCTTCTGGTTCGTTCAGCGTCTCCACCTCGAAGTTGTCCGCAGGTCTGGTGTCCCGTCAGCTATGGTTACTACTGGGTCGTGGCCTCTCCCGTCGGTCGTCGAGGGCCCGATCGAGGTCCCGTATTCGGACAATGTCAATGCGCCCGGTTTGGAGCCTGGACCTGTTCTGGAAACCCGGGGCCGCATCGTCGCCCAGTTCGAGGCCGAGGGGTTCGCCGCGCACGATATCTCTGAGGTCTCGGAGGGCGCTGTCTTGGGTGCTGACGTCGGCGGCGTGGACCCCTGCACTCGCCGATCCCTCGAGAAGCTCCTGGTCGTGGGGAAACGCTTTGTTCTGGCTCACCTCGGGACCTTATGTGAGTGGTCGTCAGCTGGAGGTTATTCTGGGACATCATGTCGCTGCCTGCCTCTTCTGACGTTCTGGGTTCTCGGTCATGCGCGCAGTATATAAGTTTACGAAAGCCTCTCACGACAAGCCCAGAGTGTTGTGGAGAAGATGTCGCTATGAGTGTTGGTTGATGGCGGTCCTCTGCATTCACCTACAGTCTCCTCTGTCTTTGCCGCGGGCCAGTGAGGTTGTTGCCGCAGACGCGCCCACGTCCTGGATGGGGGTCGCCGAGGCGTTGCTCCCGCGCGAGGTGGTTGCGCAGGCGGGGAGGTGGAAGGGGGAGGCGGCGACGTCGCCGACTGGAGCCGTCCCAGTGGCCCCCCCTCGCCAGAGATCTCGACGGCCTTGATGAGATCACGTTGCCGCACACTGCTTGGGAGAACCCCTCGGAGCGAGGATGGAAGCACGCCGTCGGTTTCCCCGAGGTCCCCCCCGAGATCCTGGATGCTCGCTTTCGCGTTGCGCATGTCGCGCCACTTGAGTATTCAGAGCATATCGATGTCGAGGAGGGTCGTGCCGTGGTCTGGGTTTTGCGTCGCGATGCCAGAGACCCCAGGCGACGTTGTTCCAAGAGGTTGTACTTGGTCGACAATTTCGGCGTCGTGCTTGCACTGAAGCGAGGGAGGGCCACATCACATGGCCTCCGTCAGATCTGTCGGCGCGTTGCTGCTCTGTCCATAGCCTGTAACATTTTGGCTCGATTTCGCGGGGTAGCTTCCGGGTTGAATCCCGCAGACCCTCCGAGCCTGATCTGAGATCGCCGCGGGGCGCGGCCGCCGTGCGGGCCCTATGCTGGGCCCCCTCATCGCGGCTGGAGGGGCTGCGCCTTGCCTGGCGGAGGGCCCCGCGCTTGGCCCGCAGGTCAGGGCGGCTCGGCGCACTGCGCGGAAGGCCCCAGCCGCGCGCCCGGCCGCGCCAGCCGCGCCGCGGCGGAGGCCCGCTGCGGCAGCGCCGATGCGACGCCCGGCCGCCGCTTCCGGCAGGGGGGCGCTCCGCCCTCGGTCGCAGGCGGCGCTGGTGGTTCCTAGGACTTTCCCGGTGACGGCCGCGAGTCTGTCGGCATGCGAGCTGGCAGCCGTCGGTGTTTCGGCCAGGCTCTCCTACCAGAAGTACTACGGGGCCTTCGTGGAGTTCGCGGGCCAGCCGGCAGAGGACCTCGACGAGCTCGAGGTGCAGGCGCTGTCGGTGCCGGGCACTTTCCTGGACGCGGGCCGCGCAAGGGGCGACGCCGACTACCTCGTCGCCTCCGTCAAGGACGCGCTGCCGATGGCGACGGGGCCGAAGACCCTTCCCCGCGCGCAGCGGGCGCTGAAGGGGCATGCGAAGAAGATGCCGCCCTGGTCGCGGGCCCCAGCTCCCCGCGAGGTCGTGGGCTCCGCGATCTCAGGGCTTCTCTCGTCGGGGGAGCGGGGCGCCTCGCTCCAGGCGCCCGCGATGTTCAGCACGTTCGCCCGCCCCTGCGCGCTGGGGAAGGTGCTGGTGAGGGACTTCCTGCAGCCCGCGCGGGCCGGAGGGGCCATGGCGACGTGGTCGCTGCTCCTGGCGCCGACCTCGGCGCGCCCCCTGACCCCGCTGGCCGAGGGGGCGGGTCGGGCTCGGTACCTGGCCAAGACGGGGACGTCCGACGAGGCGGTGCCCCTTGACAGCCCGCCGCGGCTGGGCCCTCGTCTTGCCCTTCATGCCCGCGGCCGCCCAGGTCGCGAGCCGCTCTTCACCACGACGGCGCTCGATATGGCCGTCCTGTTCCGCCAGGTCACCGAGGCGCCGGAGCTCCAGAACGCGTGCATGTACCAGTTGCGACACGGCGGGGCGAGCGAGGATGTTCTGTCCGCTCGTCGCGCGCTCGCCGAGGTGAAGACGAGGGGCCACCGGGGCCAGGACAGCTGCGTGAAGCGGCACGCGAAGCCCGGGATGGTCCAGCAGCTGCTCGCGTCGCTGTCGCCCGCCGCCAGGGCGCACGGCGAGGTCCAGTGGGCGAGGCTCGAGGACCTCTTCGCCGGGCGGGCGCGCGCCTCCTGGCCAGCGCGGTAGCTGCGATCGGGCCGCTTGATGGGGTCGGGCGCTCGCCAAAGGGACCTCCGGGTCATTTTTCTTTGAAAACTGTTTCGCAGGACCACGTGGAGGCGGCTCTGGGCCCGCGCGCCCGCCCCCGTCGCGCACTGGAAGACTGGGGCCCGCGTGGCGGGCTGCCGCGGGTGCCCGGGGTCGCAAAGTTTGCCAATCAGGTTGGAGTCGAGCTGATGGCGGGCAGCCGCAGACTCTGCTGCCTGTGTCCGCGCTGGACTGGCCGCGCGCTCGTTCGAGCATGCTGACTCTGCCTTCGAGGGCGCTCTTCATCCTGACGCGTCTCAGCTCCTGCTTGGGCTTGCCGGGCGCGGGCTAAAGTTCGTCTGGGTAGGTCTCTCCCACGCGTCCTGGTCTCGAGCGAGGCGAAATCCACGCCCGGGAGGCTGGCCAGGTCCAATTCGTTCCCGTGACTGCATCTTGGGACTGCCAGGCTTGTTCGCGATTGACCAGCATAAGGTACAGTTGGGGAACCTTCAGGCCAACTGGGCTGCTAGTCTGTCCCCCCGGTTGGCTGCCCTCGAGGTTCCCATCATTATCGAGAACCCCCAGGGTTCAATGTTGTGGCTCCATCCTCGGTTTCAAGACCTAGTGTCGAAGTATGGCGTCGTGGACTGGGACCATTGTGCATTCCAGTCATGTTATCGTAAGCGGACTCGTTTGTTGTATAACAATTGTGGTCTGGATCTTTTATGTTCAGACAAGTGTCGCGGTCGTGGTGTGTGTTTGTTTACAGGCCAGCCTCATACGGATATCTCAGGTAAGGATGAGTCGGGCACGTCCCACTCGGAGAGGGCGTCAGCTTATCCCGTCAGGTTCTGTGACAAAATAGTTCACCTTCTCTGCCATTCGTACATTCGTTTTGCCTAAACTGCCGTCCCAGGGTTGACTGTATAATCTGCGTTAGGCTTTAAAGTTACCACCCCTCCTCCCCGGCTCATTTATGTGAATGGACTTGGGGCTTGGAGGCGGCTGCTTGAGCAGCGCTGGGTTGCATTCACACGCACTTGCGATTTAAACATCCCACTGTACTGAGTTTGCTGGCATCGGAAAAATGGTGACACTCGGTAGACACATGGCCCTGCGTGCTGGAGAATGTGTTCTGGAGTGTTTCCGTTCCGCTGCCTTTTTGGGCCCAATCCCAAAATCTTGAAGACGGTTGTCCCTCCCTGCCCTCCCTTCCTCCTCTCCTCTGCTGGCACGTGTTGCCCCTTGCTCATAGGGGCTCGGAGGCCGCTGCTTGAGCAGCGCTGGTCTGTATTCGCACGCAATTGCGATTAAAACATCCCACTGTACTGAGTCTGCTGGCATCGGAAAAATGGTGACACTCGGTAGACACATGGCCCTGCGTGCTGGAGAATGTGTTCTGGAGTGTTTCCGTTCCGCTGCCTTTTTGGGCCCAATCCCAAAATCTTGAAGACGGTTGTCCCTCCCTGCCCTCCCTTCTTCCTCTCCTCTGCTGGCACGTGTTGCCCCTTGCTAATAGGGGCTTGGAGGCGGCTGCTTGAGCAGCGTTGGGTTGCATTCACACGCAATTGCGATTAAAACATCCCACTGTACTGAGTCTGCTGGCATCGGAAAAATGGTGACACTCGGTAGACACATGTGTATGTTTGAGTGTCGGGGTTTGTTTTTTTGTCTGAGAAGCCAGGAAACCTTGTGTATGTTTGTTTTGTTTGATTGCTTTCGTTTTGCAAGCCCCGACGTTCGCACGGGCCCCCCTCCCAGCACCCGTGGGGCTTGCAAAACCCCCCCACCCACCCACAGGAAAAAAAACAAGGTTCCCTTGCTCCTCAAACCCAAAAAGCCAAACCCAAAAAAGGTGTCCTTGCATCGAAGGCGCGAAACATTGTGTATGTTTGGTTTGTTTCGTCTGAGGCGCATGGAATGATGCTGGGAGGGAGGCCAACGCGAGCATTCGGGCCTGCAAGAAAAAAAAGAGAAACAACTCATGGTTTCCTTGCTTTTCAGATCTAATACGCCCCAAGAAAATTGCATCAAAGGCGCGAAATATTGTGTATGTTCGGTTTCTTTGGTATGAGGCGTATGGAAGGGTGCTGAGAGGGAAGCCAGCGCGAGCATTTGGGCTTGCAAAACCAACGAACAAAAAGGCATGGCTTCCTTGTTTCTCAGGCCGGTCGAGGGCGCCAAACACTGTGTATTATTGGTTTTGCGTTGCTACAGGGAGGAGGAAACGGAAAGGAGAAGGAGGAAAAGGATGATGGGCGAGGAGGAGGGGGAATGGTGTTTGGAGAAGGAGGAAAGGGAAAGGAGAAAGAAAAGGAACGGAGAAGGAGGAAGAGAAGGAACGGAGAAGCAGAGAGAGGTATGATCAGGGTATTGCGCCCTCGTGTAAGGACACCGTCTGTGTATTTATGATTGTTTGTGCTTTTTGGTTTGAGAAGCCAGGAAACATTGTGTATGTTTGTGTTGTAGTTGTGTTTTTGGTTTTGCAAGCCCCGACGCTCGCACTGACCTCCCTCTCAGCACCCGTGGGGCTTGCCCCCCCCCCTCAAAAAAAAACAACAAAAAACATGGCTCCCTTGCTTCTCAGACTCAGCCCCCCCACCCCCAAAAAAAACAGTGTTTCCTTGCATCGAAGGCGCGAAACACGTTTGTATGTTGGGTTTGTTTGGTCTGAGGCGCATGGAATGCAGAACAACCAAAAAAACCCTCGCATCGAAGGCGCGAAACATTGTGTAGTGTTGGTTTGCTTGGTCTGAGGCGCATGGAAGGGTGCTGAGAGGGAGGCCAGCGCGAGCATTCGGGCCTGCAAGACCAAAGAAAAAAACAACAAACCACAAGAACACAGGGTTTCCTTCAGGAGGGGGAGGAGGAGGAGGAGGAGGAGGAGGAGGAGGAGGAGGAGGAGGAGGAGGGGGGAGGAGAGATCGATCGACGATGGCGGTACTACATAAGAAAATGTATGATTTTGGAGGGTGCGACCATATATAACAAACGGACGGTGTTCTTAAGGGCTCGCGGGAGCGCGGGCGCATGCAAGTTTGAAAATTAGTCTTGCAAAACCACGTGTTCTCTATATGTGTCCGGGACATTCGATTATGAAATCCCCGTGGATGATACAGTTGTTGAAAGGTTGCCGCATGCGCGCGCGACGACGCGAGCGTGCGCACATCGCCTTATATTTTGCAACGGGTATTGTTGTTTGCGACAGCACGCGCGCAAAGGCGTTCGAGCGATTTCGACATGCGCGCGCGAAAGACCGTTGGGTAGCATGTGTTCAACATGTTGAGAAGCCTATGGTATCCCTTAAGAATACGCAAGAGCGCGAGCGCAGGCTTTTTTCGGGACATAACAAAAAAAAACGTGGTTTCGCAACGCCCGTTGCAAAGCCCATGTGTTTTGTTTTATATGTTCTGGGACACTCGATGTTCAAATCCGCGCGACGACGCACGCGTGTACATTTCGTGCCATTTGTTGCAAGGGATGTTTGAAAAATATTGTTTGTGCATTAACGAGTGGGCGCGCGTAGTTTTTTGCAGAGGATGTTGGGGTTGGTGCGATACGGGCCTGCTTATGATGGTACGAATTCGTTTTTAGTATGCACGGTGGGGCAGAGTCAGATGTAAGTTTCACTACGACAAGGGGAGCCCTTAGTTCTGGGGGGGAGGTACATCCCATCATTCTTCTGAAAGGGAGAATCTAGGCGGCAACGGGGCGGCGATGAGGCGGCGACGGCGACCACGAAGCCGCCAGACGGACAATTAGGCCCAGACGACGGGCGGCGACGAGGCGGCGACAGGGCGGCGACGGCGACCACGGAGCCGCCAGACGGACAGCTGGTCCCAGACGGCGAGCGGCGACGAGGCGGCGACAGAGCGGCGACGGCGACAAGCCGCCAGAGCGCTCTGCAAGCTCAGTTCCGTAGAAGAGAAGTAAGAACCCTAAGTGCAAGCACGGATTGGGGAAAAAGTTAGAAGTTCTAGGTGCAAGCATTGTCTGGATGGCAAAAGGACAAACGCCTCAGGTTTGCCAACACAAAAAGTTGGATGACAAGACAAGGGCCCGCTGCAGGCGCGGACATGTTCGAAGAAGGGGTTCGCCTTTGATGGATCAAACGGTTGACATCTCGCCCGTGGCGGAAGCCATCCAGGCCCCGATCCGCTTCGATTCGAGGCGATTTCAATCCCAGATGTTTGATCATGATGTTCGGTTTGGTTCGTTGGTTCCCGTGGAAGCCAGCGAGAGAAACACGAGGCGGCTTTGTTTGCTGAAGATGGCACAAGGTCGGCGGAGGTTGCTGGAGGTACACAACGTCGACCCCCCAAAAAGAGGCCGACGCCAGCGTACCTACCCATCTCAGAGTCGGGCATCTCCTCCGCTTCGTTCGCAACTATTTTGGTTCAGGTGGCTCCGCGCCATACTTCCATAATCTTGACAATTCCGCACTTCCTGAAAGTCTCCACATGGCGTCGCGGTGTTCAGAGGGAAATCAAAGGGTGGGGACGGGCTCAGGAGGGAGCACCAACTCTGAGTCGCCAATTAACCACCGAGATTGGTGTGATTCCCACACCGCGTCCGCGAATTGCCTGTGGGCTTATCGGAGAAGCATCGGCGATGAAGCGCCGATTATGGGTCGATGGTTAGCCCTTGCTGTCTCTCCCTCAGGTGTCTCGATCTAGCAATAGTGTTGACGCTGGGGGGGGTGGGAGTCCAGGGCGTGCAGCTCCAGAGCGCGCACACGCGCCTGGCGAAGGCGCAGAAGGAGGAGGCCCATGCAGCCCTGTTCGAGAAGGACTTCACGGTGGAGCTGGACATGATTGCGGCCCACGAGCGCAATTTGAACCTCGGGATGCAGCTGGACACCGACACTGATTTTGAACCAGTGTCGGTTGCAAAGGTTCGCAAGAACGGGTTGATGGAGATGTGGAACAAAGCCAACCCGGATAAAGCCATAACCGTGGGCGACCAGATCATGAAGGTCAACGACATTTTGTGGCACCACAATTCGCAGATGTTTGCAGAGCGCATCAAAAACCAGTACAAGGCATACAAGGACTACAAGGCGGGCGCTAAAAAGGTGCTGACCCTGGCAATCCAGCGCCCAAGGCGCCAGAAGGAGACCCGTTTCCAGTCGCAGCGGGAGGACCTGCACAGGCAGATGTATTCGAGGGAGTTCAGCGTCGACCTCCCCTTCGTGAAAAACCAGAGCATCGGCTGGACGCTGAACGCGACTGTCGACTGGAATCCGGTGACCGTCGCCAGTGTCAGCAGCACAGGCTTGGTGGCGTTGTGGAACCAGGAAAATCCTGAAAACAGGATCTACCCCGGCGACGAGATCATCATGGCCAATAACGTCACTTGGCACCACAACACCAAGGCCTTCAATCACCGCATTGATACGATGCTGCGCAGGGCTGTGTCACAATCCAACTCCAAAGTTGCCATTACCCTGCGCATTCAGCGGCCTAGGTCGGTCATCCAAGCGCTGGAGGGCAAGACCTTCCAGAAGATGTTCGACGTGACCCTGCCCAGTATCCACCCAGAGGAGATCGGCTGGACCCTGCAGACCAACACTTCGGACCCTATCAACATTACTGAGATTAGGGACGGAAGCTTTCTGAGCAAGTGGAACAAGCAAACTCCCGAGCAGAATTTGGCCGTTGGCGATCGCATCGTCAAGGCGAATAGCTTGAATTGGCACCACGACAAGATTGGTTTCGCGAGCAACCTGTTGAAGATCTTGAGCAAAAGGAACAGCACCACTCTGCGCGTCCAGCGGCAGGCCCACTTCAACTACGCCAGAGGTTGGGCAGTAGAAATCCCATCAGGTGTGAACCAACTGCTGGGCCTACAGCTGAACGCTAGTGACGACGAGTTTCCTGTAACAATCAACATGGTCAGGCGCCTGACTGCCGCTGGCATCTTCAACGAGGACAACCCCGATGACGTGATGATCCCCGGTGACCAGATCTTCAAGGTCAACGATATCTTGTGGCGCGGCAATTCGCGCGAGTTCGCGCAGAGCTTGGAGCAGGAATTTTCCAAATCCAAGCGGACGGGCGTCATGCGCTTGTGGCTCCAAAGGCCAGAGGGGCTGCAGAGGGAGGACGATTCGAGCTTGGACTACCTTGAGTTCTCGACAGAGCTGAATGTCTCGCTGTCCCAGGCCATGGGCTGGGAATTGAACACCACTGGCGCAGGCCCAGTCACGGTCAGTAAGCTCACGAATCTCGGTAGCATCCAAAGTTGGAACGATAACAATCCATTGAAGGACATCCAGGTCGGCGACCAGCTCATCCAAGTGGAAGACAGAGTTTGGCATAACAACACAGAGGAATTCATGAAGCACCTCGGCCACCAGCTGACGGACGCCACCAGTAGCAAAGGCAAGGGGAGCATCGCGGTGCTGTTCCGCAGGCCCTACGTGGCGAACGCGGATGACGTGGCCGAGGGCAAGGACGAAGAGTTGGGGGGCGACGTGATGGGAGCCGAGGAGTGATGCGCTCGGCGGGCCCAGGCACGAACTGCTGCTGATGCCATCGAGACCGCCTTCGGTCTCGATGCTCGAGGCGACCCATTGTTGGGACGCTGCGTTCCACGCAGAAGCAGTCCCAGGTGCGATATGCAGGATCATCGCTAATCATGCGTTTTGGCTGTCACCGAAGGTGATGGTGTAACACAAATGACCAGGGAGGTTAGGGCTAGGAATGGCACTGGCACGCGCAGCGGGCCAGACAGAGAGCAGAGGCGGAAGCTGGCGGAAGGAGCCTTGGAAGTGCTAGGAATCACACTCCTCCTGCTTGACTCCTGTAGGCGCTCGCGGCATCGGAAAGACGTCAAGCACTTAGATTCACGCTCGCGTCGTTACGAACTTTGGGTTATCAGCAGATGGCTGATCCGGCATGCAATCAGGAAGCCTCGGGCTACTACTGGATGAGTTGCACAAGCCTGCAATAGGAAAAGAATTATTTAATCGCTTCGCTCATTCCGCCGGCCCATATTGTCGCACCGTTGTGGG